GTGCACGACTTCAGGTATATGAGAGAGTCTGCGTTCTGGTGCTTCACCCCTGCACGGTGCACGACTTCGATGTGGTAGAGTTGCAGGCTCAGGTACCACTGCATAATCCTCGGGTTGGTGTCTTTCATGGTGTTGAGCCATTTCAATGGGGCATGGTCAGTCACCAGCGTGAAGCAGTCCCCTAAAAGAAAGTAATGGCAGGCCTCAATAGCCCACTTGATGGCTAATGCCTCTTTCTCTACCGTAGCGTAATTCTTTTCCCTCGGAAATAGTTTCTGGTTTAAGTAAGCCACTGGGTGCTCGACACCCCCCTCCTCCTGGACTAGAACAGCCCCTAGTCCCACCTCCGAGGCATCAGTCTGGAGCAAAAAGGGTTTGGTAAAGTCAGGCTGGTGTAGCACCGGAGCCTTAGTTAAACACTCTTTAAGGGTCCTAAAAGCTCGAGTGGCCGGCTCAGACTACCTCACCCGCTGAGGCTTCCTGCTCTTTGTCAGGTCAGTCAGGGGGGCAGCTAGGGCCGCAAAGTCAGCTACAAACCGGTGATAGTAGCCCACCAGACCAAGGAACTGTCTCTTTGTTATCAGGAGGGGGTACTCCCTGACTGCCCGCACTTTATCTAACAGGGGCTTTACCTGGCCCCATCCCACCATATACCCCAAATACGATACCTCTCGCTAGCCGAAGCAACACTTCTTCGGGCTGGCGGTTAAGCCGGCCCGGGCTAGGCCCCCCAAGACAGCAGCAATATGCCGAAGGTGTTGTTCCCAGGTATCGCTAAATATTATGACATCATCTATGTACGAGTGGTGGTCCCCTAATATCCCATCCGTTAATCATTGAAAGGTCACCGTGGCTCCATGCAACCCAAACGGCATTTTCTGGAACTGGTATAGGTCAAAGGGCATGGCAAAGGCTGTCTTCTCCTTAGCGTCCAGGGTCAGCACTATTTGCCAGTACCCCTTTGTGAGGTCAATGGTGGACAGATATCTGGCCCGTCCCAGCCATTCCAGTAACTCATCAATGCGCAGCATGGGGTACGCGTCGAAGTGAGACACTGCGTTGACCTTCTGGAAGTCAATGCAAAATCTGGTGGACCCATCAGCCTTAGGCACTAATACAAGGGGCTTCTCCCCTCACTCCGGGATTCCTCTACCACGCCCCGCTTCAGCATTGATTGTAACTCCCGGTGGACCATCCCACACAATTTTCGAGGAAGGGGACAGAAAGCTTCCCGTACCTTCTGGCCTGGGTCGGTTATTATATCATGACTCACCAGGTTGGTTTGCCCCGGTCGGCTCGTCAGTCTCATTTGGAATGTGGCGAGGAGGCTACAAAGTTCTCAACATTGTTTGGTACTCAGCTCTTCGCCCATTCAGACCTCCTCGACTGTTACTTCTTTCTCGCCCCAGGGGCCGAGTTCAAAGTCCTCAAGTTGGGGTTCGCCGAGGAGCATCTCTGGGGATTTCCATTTCTTTAACAAGTTCATGTGGTATAGCTGAGTCGCATTCCTCTTTCCCCCTACTTGTACCTCATAATCCACTTTACCGATTCTCCTTAGCACCCTGTACAGCCCCCGCCACCAAGCTAACAACTTAGACCCTTCCGTCGGGAGCAACACCAGGACTTGCTCCCCCAGCTTGAATTCCCTCAATCTAGCACCTCGATTATACTGCTGGGTTTGGGTCTCCTGGGCCTTCCGTAAATTCTCCCGGGCCCAGGACCCCAGGCGACGCAACCATTGCCTTAGTTTGAGTACATACTGAGCGGTGCCCAGGCCCAGTGAGGGCTGTTGCTGCTCCTTTGGAAGACCCACCCTCAAAAATATCTTCACTAGTTCCTCGGCTATCACCGGGGCAGTGGTCTTCCGCAGAGGGACGGCCTCTGGGTATCGTGTTCGGTGGGTGCGGCTCTCACTTCAAGCGTCGTGCGGTGGGCCTCATCCCCTTTGCCACTGATGCGACGCCGCCTTTGCCTCCCTGATCCCCTTCCTGTCTGGCCCGGCCCCACAGTTGTATCAAGCGCTTGAACCCAGGCCAATCTCTTCCCAGCAAAGTGGGGTGGGTAAGTTGGGGGGCCACCGCCACCCTGAAAACTGCCTCTTCCCACCCATCATTAATTCGTACTTGGACCGTGAGGTAGGAGCGTACGTCCCCATGCACCCAACATATCCAGATCCTCCACCCTGTCGTTGGGGTGCCCCCACCACGACCATCTGCACCATTGTTTGTCCACACCCCAAATCCATTATTGCCTTGACCGATTTCCCATTTATTGTCACCCATCGGGGGACTGGCCGTTGGGCTGCTCTAGCACGCAGAACACCCACCTGGGTCGGCTGTCCATAGGTGCAGTCCATGAGGGGGCAATCCTGGTGGAAATGCCCCTCTTTTCTGCACTGGTAACAGGCCCCCCGGACTGGTGGGGCTCCCTTTGGGTGGGATCCTGGCTCCTCTCTGGCCAGCTTCACGCCGCCGGCCGCCAGGTCGGGGTTCTGCCACACCGGCGCCAACTTCCTCTTCATCCCCAACCTCAGGGTTGGAGTCCACCCTCCCCTTGCTCATTGGGGGCAGCGGGTGTTTTAGATCCCCAACGGGACTGGGTGTCTTCCCCTTGCCTGCCTGCCGTGCAGGGGAACCGCTCCATAAGGGTCACTGCCTCTTCCAGGGTGTTGGGCAGGTGCCACCGGACCCATCGTTGGCCCTTGGGGGGGAGAATCTGTACATACTGCTCCAGAATCACTTTGTTGACTTGCCCTCCCACCTCACTGTCCAGCTCCAGCCATCTCCTTCCGGCTTCTTTAACCCGGTGAGCGACGGCACGTGGAGTTTCACCCGGGTTTATACCGGGACTCTCGGAAGCACTACTAGTAGGCCTCCGGGGTAATGCCCAGCTGGTCCAGTATCGCCTCCTTGACCTTAAAATAGCATAGGGCCTCCTTTGCCGTCATGCCCCGGCAAGCCACCTGCGTGGGGCCAGCAGGGTAGCCCAGTGCTCCTGCGGCCATTGGGCCGCCATCGCCACCCTCTCGAAAATTACTAGGAAGGCTTTGGGGTCATCCTCAGGGCCCAGCTTAGATAGCCGTATTGGGAGCTGAGTCCCCACAGGCAGACCCTCTTCACTGGCGAATGGCCCTTCTTCACTGCGTGGGCCCCCCAGCCCTGGGGTGGTCTCACGCATCTCCCGGACCAGCTGCCTCTGCTGTTCCTGAAACTGTGCCGCTAATTGTTGTAGCAGTTGAGTTTGCTGCTGCTGTTGATGTCTCTGGCTGTCCATCAGCCATTCTAGCAGTTTGTTAACCTCCATTTTGGCGTCTCCTTGCAAAACAAAATCACACTCAAGTCTCTTACTCCCCTTTCTCCCACTCCCCTAGCCCTGCTGCAGGGCCAGGGACCGTGCCTGCCTTCTCCACCATGTGTACAAAGACCACCCCAAAGTCGTGGTAGGTGGGCGGTTTTTATTACATAAGCTCTACCATACAGCGCAAGAACCTCGCCGTACAGCAGTGGGATAGGGGGGCTCGGGCCCACCCACTCTCCCGAGCCCCAGCCCAGGGCCCTAAGGCAGGGGGAAAGAACCTCCCACCTGCCTGTGGATGGGGTGTAAACCCCTAAACTCACCTGCACTCGGGGTCCTCGGCCCAGCCCTGGGCCACTTCCTACCCCACCTGGAGTTCCCTCCCCAGGGCCGATGTGGGGTTGCTGCTCACCCCGGTCAGTTCCCAGATCCTTCCGCCAGCCCTGGGCCACTTCCTACCCCGCCTGGAGTTCCCTCCCCAGGGCCGATGCGGGGTTGCTGCTCACCCCAGTCAGTTCCCAGATCCTTCTATCCTCCCCAGCCCTGCTGGCCTCACCTGCCTTCCCCCTGGCCAGCCTGAGGCTCACCCCCTTGTCAGTAGCCTCCGGGCCGCTTTTGAATGCCCCGCCAGCCCAGTGGGTGGCATCATTGGCCGGCGCCAATGTAGCCATGCCGGCCGATGCCGAGGTGATGTCATCAGCCGGCGCCAGCCCTGTGGCACTTTGCGCGTCTGCAGCATTGTGCCCGGCAGCGTCTGCCAGGCTGCCGCTAACTTGGCCCGGTGGCATGCAGGGCCACTCCGCCCTGCCACACTGTCGGTATCCAGAAATTTGCCATCCCCCCCGTGGACACCAGCTCTCCTCTATCATCAGCTTTGATGAAGCATATATGGAGTTAGATACTCAGCTGATGTAAAGTGACATAACGTCCATGGGACCATGCTGACTTACTCCAGCTCAGGATATGGTCCCATTAGTCATTTTTTCTGAACCCAGCACAAGGGGGCCCTGTTCTTACTGGGGATCTGCACAGCATCTAGCATAATGGGGCCCTGATCTAGATCGGCATCTATACAATACCCAGCACGATGGGGCCTGGATCTCAGTTAGGGTCTGTGCAGTGCCTGACAGAATGGGGCCCTGGTCTCAGTTGGGGTCTGCAGTGCCTGGCACAGTGGAACAATAGTCTGAGTTGGTGCCTCTGTAAGGCCAGTAATAACTGACCAATGCAAAGCAAGCTTGGTGCGCTCATGGACTGGAGGCCTAATGCCTTCCTAACAGTGCCCTTTGTTCCACATTTACACAGTAGATTTTCTCTCCCTTTCCCTTCACGCTAATCCTTCAAACCCAGGGTAGAACTTTAACTCAAGTAAGATGATTATGGCTTACATAACCCACACAAGCACCCATTTAACCCAATCAGTTTCCTAAGGCTAAAATAATAAATATATGTATTACCCCACACTCCCAATCCCCACCACCACACACACACGGAGCTTCCAGCATCCCAAAACAAAAGCATCCAAATGAGGTGATCCAAGGTCACATCACAGGTTGCTCAGATCTTCTTCCAACAGACTGGGATCCCAGCTGAGACCCCAGAGCTTTGGATGGATGCCAGACCGATTGCGGCTTCAGTGTTGCAGGCAAGAGTTTAGTGGGGTCTTGATAAAGGGAACTTTTTCCGAGACAATGAGACTAAACTTTCCCATGCAGCAGCCCAAGCTGTGCGCTTCTCCTGGGGGAAGCTGATGGCTGTAGCTGATCATGCTTTGACAGATCTTGAAGAGAGCTGGAACGTATTGTAGGAGGCACCCTTTCCAAATGCAGCTCTGTCTGTGAAACTCGTTTAAGTCATCAGGCAGCGAGTTGACAGGGGATCTGTTCGTCATGACTTTTGCCGAACTCCTCGACAGCGTTGGCGGCATGGGCCGCTTTCAAATCATCCACGTCACTTTGCTTGTTATCCCAGTTTTAATGACAGCCTCTCACAATCTCCTGCAGAATTTTTCCGCTGCTGTCCCAGGACACCACTGCCAGATCCGTGCAGCTGCCAACAACACGCGTGGTGCAAATGCGACTCACAGGCTGAGCGCCAAAGATCTCTTGAGGGTCTCCATCCCCATGGATGGGGACTGGGAGCCAGAGAAGTGTCGCCGGTTCATCACCGCCCAGTGGCAGCTCCTAAATTCCAATGCAACAGTCTCAAATGGGACCGAGATGGAAACAGAGCCATGCACGGATGGGTGGACCTATGATAAGAGCATCTTCACCAACACCATCATTATGGAGGTAAGGAAAAGCCTAAAGCACTCACAATTGTTTAGGGAAACCCTGCGCAGCTTGTGTGTTACTGATCAATATTTACATCTGGTCCAGGCTGTTAACTCTGACTTGTGTTCATTCACTGTCTCTGAACCATTCCTACTCCGTGTCCTTAGGCACATTATCGGATTTATTGATAATTGAATCAGCCCCACGGTCCATCCAGCTCAGTAGCCTGTCTGGGACAATGGCCAGCACTGGATGCTTCAGAAGCAGATGTAAGAACCCCCTGGTAGCCCCACGTGGGATAATTTGTCCCATACACAGGTCTCATCCTGATCTTTAGTAGTTGGAGATGGACACAAGCCCTGAAGTATCAGGTTTAATATGCCTCCCAGAAGCCTTGTTGTTGTTACAATTACTCTGGATGCTTTTGATATCCATATAAAATGCCAACTCCTGCTTTCAATCTTGTTAACTTCTTCCCCTCGATGACTTCATGTGACAGTGAGTTCCACAGGCTAATCCCACATCATATGAAAAAGCTTATTTCTTCCCATCAGTTTTGAACTCCCATCTTTTAATTTCATTGACCGGCCCCTTGATCTCATGTTATGAGACAGGAGGAACAAATGTTTCTGATATGGCTCCTCTTTCCCAATCCCTGTTTTGTATTTACCAGAAGACTTACCCAGCATTACCTGGGTCTGGCCAAGGGGCGGGGGTAGCTGGGCAGCCCTCCTGGCTGGGGGTGGGGAGAGGCGGGGGCTGTGCAGGCCTCCCACTGGCACTCCCTGGGCCCAGCCTAGGGACATGGGGGACTTGCAGGCTTCCCAACAATGTTCCCTGGGCTCCACACAGGCTGGCCGGCCATGCTCGGTGGCCCAGCAGTGCTGGGGGGAGGGATGTGGCTCCTGTGGCAGGAACCAGGGTGGTGGGGCCAGCAGTACTCTCAGGGGGGCCATGATGGTGGGGCTGTCTGAGCTTTCTCCTCCCAAGCCAGTGGAGATGCTGAGGGATGGGAGGTGGGGTTTGAAACCAGGGGGCCACTTAACCGGGCCAGTGGCAGGCAAGACAGCGAGTCCCATCCTCAGCTGGCCATTCCCTTGGTGGTGCAGCTGCCCCCAGTGGTCACTCTACAGCAGAGGTGGGCAAATTCTGGCTTGCGGGCCAGATCTGGTCCACAGGCTTAGTCCCTGGTGGGCCCCCACCACCATGCTTACCTGCACCTCCACAGGTATCAGAGGATCATAGCTCTTATTGGCTGCGAATCACTATTCGCGGCCAATTTGAGTGGCAGAAAGTGGAATCCTGGTCCACAATAATTCCCACTGCTTGCATTGGCCGTGGCCAACCAGAGCTGCGATCCTCCGATGCCTGTAGAGGCACAAACATAGCGGTGGTGGCCCGCCAGCGACTAACTCCACAGGTTACCAGTTTTTTATTGCCCGCCCCTGCTCTACAGTAAACTGTGTTCGCTGCCCTCAGTGGTGACTGTGAGAATAATGTCCCTCCGCTCAGCCCCCTCCCTTTCCATCTTATAGAAAACAATAGAATTCCAGGCACATCCTGTTTTCCTGGCTAAGCCAACCCCTGGCCTTGCTTTAAGTTAGAAGAAGAGGAAGCTACATTCCAAATGTGGTGGTCCTAGCTCTTACCGTTTAGGAGTTCTTGAACAAATGGACTTGCAGACAGACAGACAGACAAAAGCACAAATCTCTAAAATAGAGAGACTAAAATGCTTACCCTGCATTGCCCAGGTCCTTCAGGGCAGGGAGCTGGGGATGTGAGAGTGAGGGCTGTAGGCTGAGGAGGGGCTCAGGGTGGGGGGGTCCTATCTGCTGGGGCTTTCTCTTTCCCCAGCCAGCAGCACCTTCTCTCCTTCTCCACCCCCCGAGCCCTCCCAGCTGACAGGGGCCTTTTCTCTCTCCCCAGGCCCTTTGGCCAGAAGGAACCTTTTCTCCCCATCTGGCAGGGATTTCTTGCCCCCCACCCCAGGTGCTGCAGCCAAGGACCAGGGGGAAGGGTTTGGGGCAGGGCAAGCCACTTGCACAGTCAGGTGGCAGGCAAGATGATGAGCCTCAGCCTCAACAGGGCACTTCCTTGGTGGTACGTCTGCCTCCAGTGTTACTCTGCAGTAGAACTCTCCCCTGTGTTCACTGCCCCTGAGGCCACTGTGAGTATCGGTCTCTCCTCTCTGCCCCCTCACTTTCCATGTTATGGAAAACAGTCCCATTCCAGGGACTTCTCCTTTTCCTGGCACAATCAAACCCTGACCTTACTTTAAGTTAGGAGAAGAGGACGCTGCCTACCAAATTTCGTGGCCTTAGCTCTTACTATTTTTAGGAGGAGTTCTTGCACAAATGGGCTTGCAGGCAAACAGACAGACTCACAGACAGAGAGATGCACTCTAAAATATATATGTAGATATTCCATCCCATCTAATTCATCTCCTTTGCAAGGTAACAAATATCAGAGGGGTAGCCATGTTAGTCTGAATCTGCATAAACAACGAGAAGCCCTAGAGCACTATATAGACTAACAGATTTATTGGAGCATAAGCTTTTGTGGGCAAAGACCTCTCTCTGTCCTTCACATCTGTAAAAGATGGATAATTCTTCCTTTCTCCCACCTGTGTCTATATGAAAGGTAAACCCTTAATGGCAGAGAGCATCTTTTACTGTGCTCACATATTGTTGGTGCTTCTAACTGCTGCTAAAACAGAAAATAATGTCTTGTATGATGACGCACTGTAGGTCTCCAGGCCTCCTGCTTCTGCTATTTACTGACAATTTGTTCTGGGAAAGAACATTGAGATTGTCAAAGGGGATGTAACTGTTTCCCAGATGGCAAGAGGTGGCTGTCGCTGGATATAATACAACTCAGCCCTTCCCATGATTCAAAGAGCTTTACAAACTCCCATGCACGGTTATGAGTTAAGTGTGTAGAACCATTAGCTCCATTTTACAGATGGGGAAACTGAAGCATAGGGAGGTGACGTGACTTGCTCAAGGCCACAGTTGTGCCAGCCATAGAGCTGGCTCCAGAATCCAGGACTCCTAGGCTTTCAATCCTGGTCCTGTAACCCCTAGAACTATAGATGCTGTCAGAGAACCCAGGAATCCCAGTCATACCGCTCCAAGCAGCAGAACAGTCTCCTTCCATGTGCCAGGAACACCACCCAGGAGACCTGATGCCCACATTTTAATTCCTAGAGCCAGTGTTCCATCTATATTTTTCCATCCAGCTGCAGAATAAATTTTCTTATGTGCACAGAGGCATGTGTAGATGTGCACCACTAGTAGAAACACATGCTGCCAGCTGTGGGTGCTCTGCTAATCAGCTGGGCAGCATTTGAATCTCTCCTGGGTGGCTGCCCAAACACTCAGCTTACAGGGAACACTGCCTAGACTCCACTCTCCTCCCACAGCTGTGGGCAGAACCCAGCATTCCTGTCTCCCAGGTCCCCTCCCCCCCCAAACTACCTGACCCCACTTACCCACAAGAGCTGGGACTAGACCCAAAAGTTCTTATGCCCCATCCCAGTTTTACCCAATACATGTAATTCCAGAGTCTGGAGTAGAACGTAGGAGTATTGACCGCTGGTACTCTGCTCTAACCACTAGGCCACACCATGCAGCTACACAATAGTGAATATGCAATACTGCTATGCTCACATTTAAATATCCACCAGTAGTTAGCTCATGCTCACGTGTCAACCACCCTGTTAACAAATCCACTGACACAGCAAAGTGCTGTTTGCTTGCTTAACCAATGCTGGGCTGCAGGACTGCACACAGAGAAAGTCCTTTCCCCTTGACAATTCCCAGCTTGTTGGTTATTTAAATATGCGCTTGCGCTTTTTTAAAAAAGCATAAATATGAGGCAGGGATTAATTTCATTTTAAATACAACCTTATTTGCCAAATACAAATGGTCAAATCCTGGTGCCAATAAAATCATTATTGTTACTAAAATATCTGTAGTGCCAAAAGACCCCAACTGAAATCAGGGCCCCCGTTGTGCCAGGCATTTCACAAGCCACAAGTGCAGGGTCCCCTCATGTCAGGCACTGAAGAGACCATGACTGAGATGGAGCCCCCATTGTGCCAGGTGCTGCACAGACACAGTCCCTGCCCTGATGAGCCAATAATCTAAACAGACAATGGGTGGGAGTGGAAACAACTTGCTCAAGATGATGCAGCAGGTCAGCAGTAGAGCATAGACCAGAACCCCCCTCACCTGAGTCCCAGGCCAGTGCATTATCAGTAGGCCACCTTGCCTCCTCTTCAAAGGCTTCAGGTGCTCCAAACTGGGGAGGCTGCAGGAGCAGAGGCGGCAGCAGCCCTCCCAGCCCCTTTTTATGCCTCCTTCCTTCACCACCTGCAGCCCTCCAGCAGCAGGCAGGGGGAACTGCAGCCTGAGATATTCCACCTCCCACTGCCAGCAGGCGATAGTGCACCCTGGAGGCCACCAACCACTAACACAGTCATGACACAACTGCTGAGGATAAATCCCCATAGTCCCTAGTGACCAGCCATCCTAGCTCTCCATTAGACCTTCGTCTGCTCTCTTACCTCCATAGCACTGGCTGTTTTCTTCTTGTGTGGGTATGAGCAGCTTGTTATGACAATGTCTGACCACCCCCCACTTTTGCTTCCCCCATCCTGGCAGTGGGACTTGGTGTGTAACCTGCGCACGCTCGGACAGATGGCTCAGTCGATCTACATGGCTGGGGTGTTGGTGGGAGCGCTCGTGTTTGGAAGCTTAGCGGACAGGTAGGTTTTTGCCAGGCTCTTTCTTCTCCCCCTGCTGAGACAGGCTGCAGGGACAGAGAAAGCAGCAGCTGTGAGGTGACTGGTACCTGCTGGACTAGGGGCAAAAGCACAGGCAGTGAACAGGATAGTTAAATGTTCACTTCAGAGATGAGGTTTATATGTAGGGATGTGGGGCTCGGGTAGAATAATCCCAGGATCTAATAGACTGGTGTGTTCAGATGCACAGCTGGTGTAAATCAGCATCACACCCCAGCAGCCACTGGGGCTAACACGCTAACTGGCATAATCGCCAACCCCACGCACTGGGGCCCATAAGCATTTTTCTGTGGCATTCAATGAGCATTAGCTGAGGACCTGGCCCATGGCCTGTTAGTTGCTACGTTTTACTTTGCTTATGTTCATCCTCTTCTTTCTAGTCCGTTTCCTCCCCCTGCCTGGTTGTGTGAAGTCAAAGGCATAACTCCCACTGATTTCAATGCTGCAGTAGCCCTAAGTCAGCAACGCCCGTCAGGTCTGGAGGTTACCCTTCTGCTACGCTTGAGATGCTGACCCCTTGAAGTCATTGCTAGGCCACAGTTTTAACACCTCTGATAGCTTGTCTTGTGGGCCAGTCCCCCAGTGCCTGGTCATTTGTGCTTGCTCTCCCCTGAGCACCTTACAGGCCATGTCAGAGCAGGAGGGGGGCCAACAGCCTTGCCAGACCCCTGGACAAGGTGAGTGGGGAGACAGGTGCTGGTTCTGCAGTCCTGAAAAGGACAGGTTCTCGGGCAGAAGGGGTGGAGCTGGACAACCAGCCCTCAGCCCCACCCAGACCGTGCGCCGCCCCCCACAGCCAGCTGCCCAGAGCATGGCACTCTGGTGGCAATTTAAAGGACCCAGGACTCCAGCCACTGCTGCTACCACAGTAGCAGAGGCTGGGAGCTCTGGTCCCTTTTGAATCACTGGGCCCTGAGGCAGCTGCCCCGTTGTGTGCCCCCCTCCATCAGCAGGCTTGCAGAGCACACAGACTAACAGTGGTTAGATAAACAGACAATCGGTACCCTCATGCCATGGACTGAATGCAGAGTGCGAGGTGTAATCACATCCGCCCTGTCCCTACCTGTCCACAGGGCTCTGTGACTCTGCACATACAGGGATCTATCAGTCACTAGATCCCTTGACACCCCAGCACAGCTATTAACATGCCTTCCTGTGCCACAGGTTCGGGCGGAAGGCTCTCCTGAGCTGGTCTTACCTGCAGATGGCTGTCGCGGGCACCTGCACGGCCTTCTCACCCAATTTCACCGCATACTGCATCTTCCGCTTCCTGGTCGGGATGGCCCTTTCTGGGGTGGTCCTCAACTGCATGTCACTGGGTAAGGGACCTTCTTCCTCTACTCCTTGTGTTTAACCTGGGAAAATTAGCCCTTGCTGTTACTATCTGCATTACGGTAGCTCCGAAGAGACCTAAACACAGTGGCTATGGCTAGACTGGCATGATTTTCCACAAATGCTTTTAACGGAAAAGTTTTTCTGTTAAAAGCATTTGCGGAAAAGAGCATCTAGATTGGCACGGACGCTTTTGCGCATTTTCGCCATTGGGGCTTTTTTTTACCTATCGACACTGGCCCTCTTGCGCAAATACATTTGCGCAAGAGGGCTTTTTCCCGAATGGGAGCAGCATAGTATTTGCGGAAGAACACTGACAATCTTACATGCTAGACTGGCATGATTTTCCACAAATGCTTTTAACGGAAAAGTTTTTCTGTTAAAAGCATTTGCGGAAAAGAGCATCTAGATTGGCACGGACGCTTTTGCGCATTTTCACCATTGGGGCTTTTTTTTACCTGTCTACACTTGCGCAAGAGGGCTTTTTCCCGAATGGGAGCAGCATAGTATTTGCGGAAGAACACTGACAATCTTACATTAGATCGTCAGCATTCTTACGCAAATTCAAGTGGCCAGTGTAGACAGCTGGCAAGTTTTTGGAAAAACTTGCCAGTCTAGACGCAGCTAGTGTGTACATTATTTCTGGTATTACCGTAGCACCAAGAAGCCCCCTTCTGGTGTGTGCATAACGTATAATATTGCAGTAGCACCCTGATGATCCAATACACTATGAATATTAGTAATATTACAGTAGCACCCACAGGCCCTTATGAAGCTCAGGGCCCCATTACAATGGTCAGGTTATTAGTAGCGTCACAGTAGCACCTAGAGGCAGTAAATAAACTCATTGACCCATTGCAGAGTGTGCAGTAATACCAGAACGTAGCATCTAGCAGCCCTAAGGGAGATCTGGTCGCCATTTTGCAAAGCACTGGACAATTACATCCCCCTTTGCATCAGCAGAACCAAGGACACTCCAGCCCCAGGGCCCTGCTCACCATTCCTTAGGGATCCTGTGCCAGATCCAGAAACTGAATCCAGTCACCTGAGTCCCCATCTACAGCTGCAACCATGAGACCAACCTACCCCAGCAGCCTTCATTAGCTAGAAAGCTGTGAGCTGCTGTCCCACTTTTCATGACCCAGCCAGAAGGCAAGCTGCATGGCCCTGGTATGCAGTGTGAATGATCTAACAGTCCCTCACTGTTCTTTGATCGCTGGGGTGCTGCCTAAATGGCAATGTAGCTTAGAACAGATCACATTATACTTCTGTATCCTAAGACCCTTGTTATTATTATTCATATTGAAGTAGCATCGAGGAGCCCCACTTTTGGACCAACACCCCCCTGGTGCTAGGTGCAGCACAAACACAGAACAAAAAGATGGTTCCTAAGTAACCTAGGGTATGTCTACACTACCACCCTAGTTCGAATAGGGTGGTAATGTAGGCAACCGGAGTTGCAAATGAAGCCTGGGATTTGAATTTCCCGGACTTCATTTGCATCTTGCAGGGCGCCACCATTTTTAAATGTCTGCTAGTGCGGGCTCCGTACCGCGCGGCTACACGCGGCATGGACTAGGTAGTTTGGACTAGGAGGAGTAACGGTAGTTCGGAATAGGAAGCCTAGTCTGAATTACCTAGTCCATGCCGCATGTAGCCACGCGGCACGGAGTCCGCATTAGCGGACATTTAAAATGGTGGCGCCCGGCGAGATGCAAATGAAGCCCGGGAAATTCAAATCCCGGGCTTCATTTGCAACTCCGGTTGCCTATATTACCACCCTAGGGTGGTAGTGTAGACATACCCTTACTTCTTTTCTTTTGGGAGGCTGTGTTCTCATTTTCCAGATAAATGTTTGATTCCTCTTTTGACTGCTGCTCAGTTCTCAGCCTCAAGGTAGTCTTATGACAGTGAGCAACACAGGCTAATGGGGCATCATACAGGACTCCTAGCACTGGATTTCAGCCACCCCCTTCCCTTAAATGCCTGGTTTTCATTTTCGAATGCTATTTTCCTGCTCTTGTTGGTTTTGAGCTGGCCCCAGCATACAAATATTTATCTCTGCATTTGCATGTATCTCTTCTGCTTGTATTCAGCCCAAGCCAGGAGGGTGTCTCAGAGGGAGCCCAGCATTGTAGCAGCACTGGATTACAATAATAATACTTTGCAATGAAGGACACATTACAATAAACTGTTTGATTTCAAATTGTGGGCGAGGGTTTGAGTCAGTCTTTTCTAATGATATGAACAGTGCTAGAACAGTAATTCTTAGGGTAGCACCTCAAGGTTCTGACTGAAACTGATGCTCTCATTGTGCCAGGCACTAAACAGACCCCAAGATCAGGGCCCTCATTGTGCCAGATGCTGCATAGACTTCGACTCAGATCTGGGTACCCATTGAGCTGGGCATAGTACATTCACACAGTGAGCAACGGCTCCCGTCTTAAAGAGGTTGTGGCTTAAAAGGGTGGGAGAGTGAAGCAGGAGCCAAAGGATAATGTACTGAGACCACTGCCTACAGTGCTGACCAGCTCTGCTTCATTATTTCTTGGGCTACGTCTACACTGCAGGCTTTTTGCGCAAGAACAGGTGTTCTTGCGCAAAAATGTGTGGAGCGTCTACACTGCACGCACATTCTTCCACAAGTAAATTTACAGTAAGGTGTCAAAACAGAGGGCTTCTTGCACAAGAGTTATTCCTCTCCCCACGAGGAATAAGTCATTTTGTGCAAGAGCTCTTGCGCAAGAAGGCAGTGTGGTCAGGCAACAGGGGTTTCTTGCGCAAGAAACCCCCTGGCTAAAATGGCCATCAGAGCTTTCTTGCACAAGTGAGTGTCCACACTGCCATGGACACTCTTGCGCAAAAGTACGTGGCAGTGTGGATGCGCTCTTGCACAAGATCTTTTGCGCAAGAACCCTTGCACAAGAAGCCTGCAGTGTAGACATAGCCTTGGTGTTCCCCCAGCTGTATTTCTGCAGCTAACTGTTGTCTCTTGTCTTATATTTGAAATTCATCTTTGTTCTGTATCTGTACAGTGCCTAGCACAATTGGGGCTACTAAAATACAAATAAGGGATAGAGAAAACAAAGTACCTTGGCCCAAAGTTCATGGAGAAATTCCATGGCAGATCCAGGAATGCAACACCAGTGCCTTGAATAACTGTCTGGTACCTTAACAGCTAGCCCATACTGCCTCTCATTGATAGCTCAGTTTCATTTTTAACTCTGAAGGACAGCAAAGCCCCTCACAGACTGGCACATTTGAGCACTGAATCCATGCCCATGAAAACATCCCCACCTGCCTCCAAAACCTGATCACTTGTGTAGCATATTAACTAGAGCTATGGGATTGTTTGGCTCAGTGGCTGAACAAAAAAAACACATTATTTCAGGTTGACCCCCCAAAAGAATTTTTTGTTTTGTTTTTCCTCACCAAAATGAAAACAAAACTTAATTTTGGATCAAATTACATGCTCTGTTCAACCGAAATTTGGAGGGAGAAGTGGAGGGGTTTTGTTTTTTCATTATATGCATTTCTATGACACATTTTGGAGCTTTTTAAAAATAAATCCCACTACAGGCAGTCCCCGACTTACGCGGATCCGACTTATGTCGGATCCGCACTTACGAACGGGGCTTTCTTGCCCCAGAGGTCGAGGTGGCGGATTGCTACCTGCGAGCTCCCGGGGGGGGAAAGCCCCATTCGTAAG